CCCCCCCCCCCCCCCCCCCCCCCGACATCGACCCGCTTTCTGGCAAGATTTGCAACTTAGAGTGCCTCCCAAGTCCTCAGCGACTTACAGCAGAAAAACTACCCACCTTCGGCTTAGCAGACATGCATTTTAACCACTTGACTGCCTTTGTTCAGATTAACAACCTCCCCCCCCCTCCTGCGCGCAGGAGAAATCTCAAGAGATTTAATAAGCATTTTTATTCCTTGTGGTTAGATGAGGCGCAAGTGCGACTGAAGCCTTGACAGGTCTCTGCCTCTAATTGGGAATGTGAGTTTTGCCACTCATCTCTTGACCAAACACAATACTAGTAGAGATACCCACGAGGACTTATGAATGTTTCTGAATTTTTCGTTTTATTTCAAATGGCAGGCTTTATGATATTTATCATTAGCCCTTAAACTTTGACTTCAGCTTCCCCCATGGGTAATGATATTTATCATTAGCCCTTAAACTTTGATTTCAGCTTCCCCCAGGGGTCTGCCTCATCATTTATTTCAAATGGCAGGCTTTATGATATCTATCATATTAGCCCTTAATCAAGGGATCATTAGCCCTTAATCCTTGACTTCAGCTTCCCCCAAGAGCCCTTAATCTTTGACTTCAGCTTCCCCCAAGAAGGATAAAAAAATTTATTTCAAATGGCAGGCTTTATGATATTTACTAGCCCTTAAACTTTGACTTCAGCTTCCCTCAAGGGTGGGTACATTTATAGACTTAATCTTTGACTTCAGCTTCCCCAAGAGGGGGGGGGGGTACATTTATAGCGGTTATTAACAGCAATTCATTAGCTGTCTTCTTGCTTCCCAGTATCTCTGGTTTTCCGAATTTTGACTTCAGCTTCCCCCATGGGTGGGGGGTACATATTACAGCCCATGGGTGGGGGGTACATATATAGCAGTTAATTAATAGCAGACATTAGCAGTCTTCTTGCTTCCCAGTATCTTTGGCTTTCCTGTAGCTGTCTTCTTGCTTCCCAGTATCTCTGGCTTTCCGTAGCTGTCTTCTTGCTTCCCAGTATCTTTGGCTTTCCGTAAGCTGTCTTCTTGCTTCCCAGTATCTCTGGCTTTCCGTCGTTAGGGCTGGACATCGAATCAGGTGGGTCTTCTCCATTTCAAGCTGGACATCGAATCAGGTGGGTCTTCTCCATTTCCTCCTCCTTCCCAGTATCTCTGGCTTTCCGTCCTTGTCTTTAGAGTGGGACACCGAATCAGGTGGGTCTTCTCCATTTCCTCTTGATGAACACCGAATCAGGTGGGTCTTCTCCATTTTCTCCTGTAGAGAATCAGATGGGTCTTCTCCATTTCCTCCTGTAGGTTTCACATCAGGTGGGTCTTCTCCATTTCCTCCTGTAGGTTACAGATCAGATGGGTCTTCTCCATTTCCTCATGTAGGTTACATATGGTGGGTCTTCTCCGTTTCCTCCTGTAGGTCACATAGACAGGTGGGACTTCTCCATTTCCTCCTGTAGGTTACATAGAGTATATGTGGGTTGAGTGTATACTCTCAATCTGTGAAGGTGTTTTGATTGTATACTCCTAATCTGTGAAGGTGCTTCGCCAGTGTATATGTAGGTTACACAGAGGGCATGTGGGTTGAGTGTATACTCTCTTAGATTAAGAATCAGATGGGTCTTCTCCATTTCCTCCTGTAGGTTTCACATCAGGTGGGTCTTCTCCATTTCCTCCTGTAGGTTACAGATCAGATGGGTCTTCTCCATTTCCTCATGTAGGTTACATATGGTGGGTCTTCTCCGTTTCCTCCTGTAGGTCACATAGACAGGTGGGACTTCTCCATTTCCTCCTGTAGGTTACATAGAGTATATGTGGGTTGAGTGTATACTCTCAATCTGTGAAGGTGTTTTGATGGTTGAGTGTATACTCCCAATCTTTGAAGGTGTTTTGCCAGGCAATCCGTCCGTACGTAGTCTAAACTCAGCAACGGCTTCGATTCTTGGCCAAAGTCTAAACTCAGCAACGGCTTCGATTCTTACCAGTCGGCAACGGCTTCGATTCCTGGCCAGTCGGTTATATCGGAGAGTCCACTGTCCACTGTTTCTAACCAGTCGGCTATGTCGGAGAGTGCCACTGTTTCTCCTTTGTTCGAGCTTTAATTTCGTTGCACATTGAGGTCGGTCTCTCCTATAACTGCACACTGTCCACGTTCGTTGCACATTGAGGTCGGATTCGAGCTTTGAGTTCGTTGAACCTTGAGGTCTGGAATTCTCTCTTCATTGTGTGGAAAGACATCGGCCGGTCTATGCCTTGCAATATCGTTGTCCTCTTCTTAGCAAGTGCGTCAGCAAGTTCATTGGCTTTAATGCCACAGTGACCAGGAATCCATTGTA